CTTTCATGTATTACATGAAGTAGAACTTTGCTTGCATGGGATTACCGTTCTGTAGTTGCCGCAATCTAGAGGAGTTCTTTTTATTTAAATATAGGGATAAAAGTGGATGTTGTCCAGTCGTTGGGCCACTCTCCGGTTTCCCAAATCTTTTTACAGATCATATGTAAACACTTACTCCAACATCTCTAGTCTCTTTTAAAACTTCTGCGGTGATCTGGTCTGCACCAGGAGATTTCTATTTTTTAACTTTTTAATTGCTTTTTCTATCTCTGACTTTGGTTCTCTCTCTGCAGTCAACTTATCGTGATTTGCATTCGGGGGATCATCTGCATAGACTTTGACAATATTTTCTCCATATTCCCGCAATCCCTTTCTCGTCATTTATAATATGTTGGTTTTGATCCATTATTGTTTGTGTGATTGGTTTAAATTCCCTGGATGAATATCGAACTTTGTTATGCAGATCATGGGATTCATACCGGTTTGCATATTTCTCTATTTCTTCGCATTCTTCATTTATATGTTTATTTTCGTCATCCCTATATGCTCTTCTAATTTCTCTAACTTGCTAATTCGTTATTGTTGCTGTCGTTTTGATATATAAGAGATTTGATTCTCCTTCGCTCTTCAAGAAGTTAGAGCGTTCTGTCTGTCATCCAGTGTTTTCTTTTGATGATCTTTTTTCCATTTCTGGTTCTTTCTACAGAGGATTCTATGGCATTTCTGAAGACTTTCCACATTTCTTTTGGGTTGTCTTGTGTGTTCAGCATATTAGTTTCTTTTAATGCATCTCTAAATGTTTTCGGATTTGAAATCTCCAGCCTGTTTTGATTTTGATACGGCATTGTTCTTTTCAGCTTCATCTTAAAGCCCATAACAATTTATGATCGGATCCACATTCAGCTCTTGGTATAGTTTTTACGTTTGTAAAACATGTCTTTCATCTCTTTCTGATCAATATGTAGTCGATTTGGTTCTTGCATGATGCTTGAACATTGTGTTTACAATGGCCAAACTGTTTTTGGTTGCAAAATCTATTAAACGTTTGCCTTGGCTGTTTCTAATACCTTACCCATAGTTTCCTACATTTTAGATGTTATCATTTCTTGTTTCTTCTACTTTAGCGTTAAAATCGCCCTTGATTATGATTGGTCCTTTAGAAGAAATATTTCTTATTATGTCTTCAATATCGGAGTATACGTCTTCCACTTCATTGTCTAACGCGTCTGAGGTTGGCATATAGACCTGAAGAATGTGCATTTTGTTTGGTGATCCTAGTAAGGTTAATTTTAAAGTCCATCATTTATCGGTTGGTAATCATACACGTATTGTGAAACCTTTTTGTCACCATAATTTCAACACCATTTCTTCCTGTGTTATTTGCTCACGATATGTATACAAAATGATCTGCCGTTTTCTATATCCTTTCTTTCGACTTTTTGTTCTAGTATATGCAGTTTGCCTGGTTGCTATAATCCTCGAACATTCCAGGTTGCTATTCCCATTGCTTTTCTTAACTGAAAATCTGATTTTCTTCCAGGCGCCAATTTCGCATGTGTTGCCTGGTTGCTCACAAACACATGCCTGGTAGCCCATTTGACACTAGTTGGCCTATAACCAACTGAGCGCCGATTGCTAATCGGATCGTTAAGCATATCTAACTGATTCGATACATTCATGATGGTATAGTCACGGGAGTATAATCATGTGGGTTCCCCTTGCCTGCCTGATTGCAGTAAATGGCCGGTTAAATCATTATGTGACATCCGCCCGTGAGTATCTGTCATTAAGCCAAGAGTAGAAATCATTCCGCTATAGCCTTAATCAAGTAATGTCATAGCTGCTGCGCTATGGCATGTCCTCAGTTGGTCCGCGGGTGCTTATTTGGTTAAACCTTATTCACACCTATCCTACATATATGTAGGACATTTCCCTATCAGCCAGTAAGACGCGCCGTGTCGGGGTTGAGGACTCCTCCGCCCGTCCGTCTTCTGCGAATTACAGAAGAGTCCCTTCATAATTTAGAACCCCTCCACGCAGGCTGGGACGGACACTCGTATGTATCATATCCCTTATTATTTTCAATCGATTGCTAATTTTATTCCTTTTTTATTTTATTCCACGGCACTCTATTTTCAGTGATCTTCTCTGAGGTCTCTATCTGTCATAGTATTTCCTATGTATGTTTTTCAGTTTTTACTAATTTTATTCACAATCGCATATTGCATTTTTCGTTATTTTAACCTGGTATCTGGTTTTTTTGCTCTCAGGCAACATCATCTTTATAAGCACCTAGGTCAGTTTTAGCAGGCAAACGCAGTCCAGGACGAAGAAGAACCTCATGGTTGAAGAACTTGCGAGATTGGTATGGTTTAGATACAAGCATGCTATTTAGGGTGGCAGTGAATAAAATTAAAATAGCTATGATGGTAACCAACGTTCTGAAAGGACATGGTACATGAAGAAGAAGGTCAGTTTCTACTATATTTAGCTGTTATGTGACAATGGTAACTGTAAGCAACAAGTCGTGTTAGTTATATAAAACTGGTAGCGAGATCTAACATTCAATAGAGATATTTGAAAAAAAATAATTTGAGTGCCTAGGATACCAGTAAATGTCTACGAGTAAGTGTGTGTACCATAATTTTTATTGCCAAACGTTTGTTAGGAGAATTCTGAGGTTAACTTTTTACTTCGTATATAAAAAAGGTTGTTTTAGTGTAATATGTGCTATTTTTGCTGTATACGGTAAGTAATCATATTATTTTGTTGAATAAAAATTATGTAGCTCTCAGGCAACATTGTCAGTTGAGTAATTGAGGATTACTCTACCATTACTATGGAAAATTTGAATGAAATATCAACTACCGCCTTTTATAGAAGAAGAGTATGAAGATAAAAATGTCATGTATTGTTCCTGTCGACTCCAATCTCTCCGATTTGTCTAAGACGGAGAAGTATGATGAAAAAATTGAAAATATCAATATAAATGAAATTACCGCAGACTTAGATGAAGATGATGAACCTTATAATAATCAACTGTTAACTGAAGAAGAGGCTTATGAAACGAATAAAGAAGACGAGCATGAAGAACCGCCACGAAAACTAAAAAAAAAAAAATAATTGATGGATTCGACCGTTACTTGATAAAAAATTCAATACACAGTGTAAAAAACTAAATAATCTAATTTGCAATAGTAAAAATCCCAATATTCATTATACAAAAAGTTTTTCGAACCATACTTTTTTCAATAGATTTATAAATTTAACAGATACTAAATTTAGTAATAGCGAGATACAACTTTTAGAGAAAGGATTTAAACACAACTTGCCCCAACATAATAATGAGAGAACTTTAGAATATTTAGGTGTAGAATGTGAAGTAGCGTTAAACAAAACTGCTAACAATATCGAAAAAAGGAATAATTGCTAAATTAATTACAGATATGTGTAGTAAAACTAAGAATTCCTGTTACAAAGAGAATAAAACAGCAAGTTCAATTAAAAATAAATGAATAGAAAACAACGTTGTGTTTACAAAAGCAGACAAAGGCAACACTACTATTGCTATAGATAAAATAGAATATAATAACAAAACAATAGAATTCTTAAATAGTCAAAATATTGAAACTTTACACAAAGATCAGACAGAAAAATATCAAACACAAATTAAGCTAGCGTTAGAAAATTTAAAATCAATAGTAAATCCAATAGAACAGAAATACCTTAATATCATGAACCCACAGCCTCCTAAATTATACTCTTTGATTAAACTACACAAACCGGATCACCCAATAAGACCTGTAGTTTCTTTTTATACAGCTCCATCATATAAAATTTCAAAAAAACTGCTAGAGATTATTTTAAGAACACACTAAATTTTCACCTAAATTTACCATAAAAAATACAATAGAACTAGTTAATAAAATACAACATTTTCAATTACCTAACAACTCCAGATTAATTTCATTTGACGTAAAAAATCTTTTTCCTAGTATCCCTCCTACAGAAACTTTTATTCTAGTAAAAAACCTTTTAGACCAAAATAGTACAAATCCAATAATTACATCTGAAATTTTACATCTTCTTGAAGTTTGCATAAACCAGGACTACTTTGAATTTAATGATCAAATATATACAAATAACAGTGCAGGACTTATATTGGGCAATCCTCTAAGCCCATTACTATCAGATATTTTTATGGACGATCTAGAGACAAAGATTTCAAAACATCCCGTATTCAAACAATTTCTATATTGGTGGAGATACGTAGACGACGTACTGGTATGTTTCACAGGAACTAACAGGCAACTCGACCAATTTTTATCGTATATTAATTCACTTCATAGTCATATTGAATTTACAATAGAAACAGAAAAAATCAATCCATAAATTTTTTAGATATAAAAATTATCAGACTTAAAAACAAACATGACTTCTCCATATTTCATAAACCTACACATAGTGACCCTACTATACACAATTCATCATCCCATCCAACACAACATAAACTGGCAGCTTATCATAGTATGTTACATAGATTAACAGAAATTCCGATGTCAAAATACAACTTTGAGACAGAACTAAATATAATTAAGCAAATAGCAGTAAACAACGGATACAACGAACAAACAATTAATAAAATGTTAAATCAAAAACTACACAAGAAAGCCCTGAAATTAGTATTTCCACCACCAGAGAAAAAACCCAGTACCTTCTGCTCGATTACATATACAGGCAAAATAACAACAAAAATAGCCAAACACATACAAAAGAAAGGAATAACACCAGCTTTCCGAACAAATAACAACCTAGGCAAATATATTAAAAATAACAAGAGCCAAAATAAAAAACACTTAAATAATGGTGTGTACAAACTTCAATGTGGCGACTGCCCAAAAACTTACATCGGTCAAACTGGTAGAAACTTAAATAAACGAATAGCAGAACATAAAAGGGCTTTTAATAATAGAAAAACAGATTCGACATACGCACTTCACCTTCTAGATCATAATCCATAGGCCCTAGTAGTTGGTCGCCTATAATGCCACACCAAATATTCAATTTAAACTCATGCTGAAAATGTCTAGCTTTAATAGCATGCGGGTTTTCTTCTTCCCAATAATCACTATTTCGCCAATTAAAAACCTCTCGTCTGGTAAAAGTTGCTTCGTCGGTGAACATAATATTCTTAATAAAGTGTCTGTCTGTAACCGTCGTGGAAGATCTGTTGGAAGTAAATTTTGAACAGGAGTGAAGTGATAAGGATGGAGGTTCTCTTTTTTTAGAATTCTAACAATAGACGACTGACTTACTCCTGTTGCTGCTGATAGATGTCGTGAACTTATTTCAGGATTTTCATCTACTCGAACCACAAGTTCATCTTCCTGATTAGGTGTGATTTGTTTCGGTCGACCACCCCGATTTTTATTGTGAAAAGACCCAGTTTCACCTAAACCACGATATAATCTTGCAAAAGTGTTGTGATTTGGTTGCCTTCTGTTTGCGTATAACATTCCATACCTTCTGGCTGCCGAGCGACCGCAAAAATTTTCTTGTGCATTTCTTCAATGGTAAAATGATTGTGACGAGGCATTTCAATAAAAAAAAGTAATGATTACTTTTAAAAAATGCAACATTACACTACACTGTCACATCAAAAATAATTTACTCTGAACATGACATTTACCAACAACAATTATTATCTGACAGTCCAAAGCATACTTTTCATAAATTAAATAATATTTGAAATCCTTTTTTAAGACTAAGCAGTTCGACTGCGTTTTTATCGAAAACGGTTGAAATTATCATGTTTAAACAGGAGTACCAATTTTACGTAAAAATGATGTTTACGTCATAGTTTCTAATAAAAATTACTAAAAAGTTTCATCAGAAAAAGTTTAGACTCAATTTGATCATTAGGAATGATCCACGTGGCGCCCTCTATGACAAAACGTAAAATTGTAAATAAAATACTATTTCTTGCCTAAGATTGTACCTCTGTGCCAATTTTGATAGCAATTTATAAATATACAGGAAAACTATTAGCAAAAAACGAAAAACAAAAATTAACTTAAACACCCTGTATCTTTTTTCTCAGCAACATTTTATTAAGGCATATTTGGCCCAATACCCATATTTTTGTCCAAATAATCTGTCTCTAGTCTATGTCCCAATAGTTATGACTCACCCTGTATAAGTAATATAAAAACCATTCTATTCGAAAATACAACTATAGACAATAATGGAGTAGAGGTAGTCTTGCCTCTTAAGTATTTTACTAGGTTTTTTTCACTAAATCTAATAAGGAATATTGTATACCAGACGAATTTATACAGTACGCAAAAAACTGGGGTAAGTGTCAACAAAAACCCTTCCGAAACAATAGACTTTTCTTCATTTTGATCTTTATGGGGGTAATACAGTTGCCAGCAATAGATCATTAGGCCCATTCTTTAAGAATTTTTCTTGTGAACTAGCTCGGTCTTTGTCCAACACTGGAAAGATCAAAGTAAAGCGAGGCCGTTCATTAAGTACGAAAAATACAGATATCCTAATTCGCCATCCTCTTGCTGTAAGACCTAATGATGATTCCAGAACAAATGCGTCACTAGGCCACTTTTTTTGTTTTTTTTTGGTATAGGCATTTGTCGTTCAACCAGTCATAACTTTTTGAGGTTCTTCCGAAAGAAAAGAGAAGAAAATAATTATCACAATGCATATTTGGTTATCAGCAAGGCAACAAACATGGTTACTTGCTTCTCGTCTAGGGAGCCATCATTAAATTAAAACAAAAACTAGACTGGATTTCAGATATATTACTGGCCACTTTACCGCTAAAGGAATAGAATAATTTTAGAGAAAGTAAAATTTTTAAACAAATCAAAGTGTGAACTCGTAAGTAAACGAGTAAAAGAGTAATACTGTATCCCAATTAAAACATCAGTAAAAGAGTTTTAGTGATTTGGAAAACAGTAACCTATGGCACTGTAAGGATCTTTACGCAAAATTCTAGGGAACCTTCTTCTTCTTGTAGTGCCTATCCGTTTCGGATGTTGGCGACCATCATAGCAATCTGCACTTTACACACTGCTGCTCTAAAAAGATTTGTGGTTGTTGTATTGAACCACGTTCGTAGATTTTTCAGCCAGGAAATCCTTCGCCTTCCTGGTCCCCGTTTTCCTTCTACTTTTCCCTGCAAGATTAGTTGCAGCAGTCCATATCTTTCGCTGTTCCTCATGATGTGACCGAGGTATTCGATTTTAGCTGTTTTTATTGTGGTTAACAGCTCTTTTTCTTTTTTCATTCTCAACAGAACACCCTCATTAGTAACGTGGTCGGTGTACGATATCTTCAGGATGCGACGATAAAGCCACATTTCAAAAGCCTCAATTTTCTTGCAGGTGGCGTCTGTGAGAGTCCATGACTCAACTCCGTACAACAGTATAGGAAAGATATAACATCGTAGTAACCTGATTTTTATGGGCATTGATAAATCATGACATTTGAATAACTTGGCCATTTTTTGAAATGCAGATCTTGCTTTCTCTATTCTACATTTGATTTCTATGGAATGGTCCCAATTTTCATTGACGTTCGTACCAAGGTAGGTGTATGTTTTTACTCTTTCTATTTGTTGACCGTTTACACTGATTTGTTCAAATTGCTGTTCCTTCTTAGAGATCATCATGCATTTTGTTTTCTTGGTGTTTAGTGAAAGTCCGTATCTCTGACTGACCTCTGTGATTCTGTTCATTAACTCCTGGAGGGCTTCAGAGCTGTCAGCAAATACTACCGTGTCGTCCGCGTATCTAATGTTATTGATTAATTCTCCGTTGATTCGAATTCCGGCTTCAACATCACCCACTGCTTCTTGAAAGATTTCCTCAGAGTATATATTAAACAGCAGTGGTGATAGTATACATCCCTGACGGACGCCACGTTTGATTTTGATGTCGTCGGATTCTCCTGCCTCTGTCCGGATAGATGATGTTTGATTCCAGTACAGATTGCTGACAATTCTTAAATCACAAGTGTTTATTCCAATATTGGTTAGTATCTCCATCAGCTTGTCGTGCTTTACTGTATCGAACGCTTTATGGTAGTCAATGAAGCACGCATAAATGTCGCAGTTCACGTCTCTACATCGTTGGAATAGCACTTGTATACTAAAGAGAGCCTCTCTCGTACCCACTGCATTCCGAAAACCAAACTGTGTACGGCTGATTTTTTCTTCGCACAGTCTATATATCCTTTGATGTATGATTTTTAGAAATAATTTTAAAATATGACTCATTAAGCTGATGGTTCGGAAATCACTGCAGGATACGGATTTTGTTTTCTTTGGTAAAGTAATAAAGGTCGACTTAAGCCATGTTCTTGGTATTACTCCGCTTAAGTATATATCATTAAATACCTTTGTTAGGTGTTGAATACCGTCGGTGTTAAATAGTTTTATGAGCTCAGCATATGCATTGTCAGGTCCAGGAGCTTTGCCATCTTTTAGTTGTAATATGGCTTTTTGCACTTCATCTGATGTGATTGGTAAGTGGTCATCACATATGTAAGATGGAGGTTGTTCGGATCTAGTATCATCAAAGAGTTCTTGTATGTATTTTGTCCATATGCGGATTTCTTGATTTTTGTCTGTGATGATATTCCCCTGTTGGTCTCGCAGTTTGTTAGCTGTGTTGGATTTCTGAAGACCAGCTGCTTGTTTCACCTTTTTATGCATGTTAAACGTATCATGTTTTTGTTCTAACAGCTCTATCTCTTCACACTGTGATTTTAACCAATTTTCTTTGGCCTTTCGTATTTCGGTTCTTATTTGTCTCTGAATCTTGTTGTACATTATTTTGTTGTTCTTTGATTTTCTTCTTTCTTCCATAAGTTGCAGTATATTGTCATTCATCCAACTTTTTTTCTTATCTTTCTTTTCTGTAAGATGTTCTTCTCTGATCTTGTTAAATGTTTCACATATATTTTGGAGTGATTCTTCGGCATTATATGTTTGCTCCATATTACTTAGCTTTTCTGAAAGAATCTGTGCGACTGTTTCTTTTGTTTTGTTATCTTTTAGTCTTCTCATATCGCACTTTTTGTTACTATTCTTTTTTGTGACCTTCTTGAATCTAAACCTAAATTTACCAACAACCGGAACATGATCTGATGATACGTCCGCACCGGGGTAACTCTTAGCTGATAGGCATCCATTACGAAATCTTTTGTTCACCATTATGTAGTCAATTTGATTCCGTATTACGTGTCCTGGTTGATCTTGCGGGGAGACCCAGGTATACAAGCGTCTTGGTGGTAGTTTGAAGAATGTATTTAGTATTGCAAATTCTTCTTCCTCTACAAACAGTTTTAATCTTTCTCCCCTTTCATTTCTCTGCCCTAGACCAAAATCACCTATGAATTCTCCGCTTTTTCCTTTACCAATTTTCGCATTGAAGTCACCCATAATGATAGTTATATCTTCTTTTTTAAGTAGTTTAAGTGAATTTATCAACAATTCATAAAATTGCTCTAGCTCTTCTTCTGGTTTATCGCTAGTGGGGGCATACACTTGTAAAATATTTAACCTGACGGGACTAGTATTCAGTTGGATTATTATTAATCTTTCAGAAACATATATAACATTTGTAACATATTGACGTAATTGGGGAGAGACGATTATTCCAACCCCATATATATGTTGACCATCTTCATTTCCCGAGTGGTATACCATATGCTTGTCAACAATACAAGCACCACTATTTGGCCACCTCATTTCGCTTATGCCCATTATACTGATTCCAAGTCTGGTCATTTCTTGAATGGTATTATGAATTTTTCCAGCCTGATACATTGTCTTCACATTCCAGGTACATATTTTAGTAATCAACTCTGATGTTCTGAGAGACACTTTTCCGGTTCTGCCACAGGGGTTTCGCTGGGTTACGACCTGGGAGGCCCTGTGATCTAAAGGTGGATCACCTCCCCTGCCGAATCTTGGCTTCCGTATTCCATGATTAGTAAGAGTTTCCACTTTAGTTGGATTTGCCATGATAGCTTTACTAGAGATGTCATCAGGGACCTTTAATGCAGTGGTTTCTCGTTGCCTTCTGCATTCTGATGCCGTTGACCACTTTCTTGGTTCTTCCGCCTTTGAGACCAATTTCTCAGTCTCAGGACAACAGAGT